AGGAAATTTCTTATAAAATACACAGAAGAAAAACTAAGCTTTGGAAATTAGGTACCGCTCCTGTGACTCATCGCTCGTGTGATCATTTTTAATTATGCCAGTGGTATTTTAACATAATGACACGAGCTTGAGCATGGCTGTTTGACGAGATGTTATTAAATAATTATGTATGAACAAGAATTTATGGTAATTATGACCTTCTCTCTTGATGTACTGTATAATTGATGTGAGAGCTCAAAGCCAGGAAGTCTTCACTATTTTTCGCTTTTTTCAGATTACCGCAGTTAAAATGTGTTCTGTAACATAATAAGATTGAAATAAAATAGATATTTAACTGTTAGCAAATCGAAAATATGGAAATGTTTTGTTAGTTTGGCAAATACAATCCTGTCTTAATCGCACTTTCATTACTGATCCAATTCATTAAGGACTTAATTGAGAGTTTTACAGACCCAAAATTTGAACTTATTCCCACGATACTTGACGATGTCGAGCAAACACCAGACAGAGGAAACATCTGGATTTGAATGCACGGGAATTCTAAATCGCCGACATGTATTTCTTTATTTCGACTCTGTAGCACCTTGTAGCGTAATACGAGTAATATGCATCATTTCCAGCCATATTTCATAATTAATTGGCCAAACTATTATTTAACTTTTTTTTTCTGTAATTCCATATGACACCTTTGTCCGCTAATCAACTACTACTTACGTCTTCCTTTTGTCCAGCGACATCAGCAATTGAAAGAACTCGTCTGAATTTGACGTTGTACTTCAGCTGCGACATCCTAGAATAGAATATCTTCAAGATAACTCACAACTTTCTTCGAGAGTGACCATAGCGGTGCTACAGCGATCCGGTGGAACCGAAGGAAGAAACTATTTTGCTCACGAATCGCGTCGATAATCATGGACGAAGTGTATTGTGACGAGTTACTTCAGCATTATCCCTCGTTCTCGGACTTTCAAGATTTGCGTTTCACGTATATCTGCAATTGTGTCTTCAACATTTTACTCGCTCAAAACACCATCGTGTCGAACATGTTAGCGATTATCGCGATACGAAGATGTTCGTCGTTACCACAGACTTTAAAAACGTTCCTTCTGAGTCTTTCTGCTTCTGATGTTGGTATTGGTTTGGTTGTTCAACCAATTCACATTTCCCTTCTTATCAACTGGTTGCAACAGAATGATTCTAACTGTATCATCGCAATGGTTTATCAAATGTGCGGTACTTTTTTCTCGCTTACTTCGTTCCTTGGTGTTCTGGCTATAAGTGTGGACAGGTTCTTAGCTATTCATCTTCATCTCAGATATAAGGAACTTGTGACTCACAGGCGTGTTGTTGCTGTGGTTGTATCCATTTGGCTGTTTAGCGCTGTATGTTTTATACTTACATTTTGGAACCTACACCAAGATCGAAGGCTATTTCGTATG